GTCATGGCAGATGAAACGGCCTAATTTGCTTATCACGCGAATTCAAATTGGGTATCATCTTTGAAATAAGATTTTCTTTAATTCTGAGTAGGGTTTTCTAAACTTCTGTATTTTCTGTATGAAATGATGAGTTCCTTAGCCGCCATCAGCACATGGAAAACTTAAGCAACATCTCACTGGCTAATTAATCACTCCTTCCAATATTTTTTTTATCTAACCTGACACATTTCATCATGTGTTACATCCACACAGGGTGATGCTGTGAAGGGCATTGTACAGGATGGGGATTTGATAGTTCATCCCTTTCTCGTGCTCTGCTCCTTTGCTTTCAGTAGGAAGTATTTTGCCTTATTTCAGATACTGCCCTGCCTTATTTCGCATCACCTCACCGCAGTCAGCCACCAGTGTCTCTAGGTGCAGTGTGCCAGGCTCTGCTACCTGCCTATTGCATTTTAAACCATTATTTTCATACAAGGAGGAGTATCCCATAAACAACCTATTCTCTTAAACAACCCTTAATTTTCTTTTACTATGGTGACTGCAAAAGTTTTCAGAGTTGTTTTTTGACAGGCTGTTGGTACTGTTCATGCTGTCTTGCTGTTTATTCGGGCCTCCCTACCTGCCTGTTCTATTGCTGCCTCTTACATTTCTTTTTGTGCCCATTGTGGAATTTGTCACATGTTTATCCTATGCCAGGACTTGTCATGAGTCAGTGGCTAGACTTTATAGGCATTATAGTAAAACAAATAAATAATGACAGACTATGACATAATCAAATATTGACTCATAAGTGCAGAAGGCCTAGTCCATACTTCCTTTCAGGGCAGGGTCAGCTACACGTAACTTTCTTCCTAACAGATAGTTATGTGGGCTGCTTTTGGCAGCGAGCAGTACTGACATCTCTGCTCCAGTACCTTGCCATCCTTGCTAGTCATAACATCTAAACTGTGTCTCCCTTGCTGCAGTGTAAGCCTTTCTCATACAGGCCATGAAAGGGGGGGGGAGGGTAAGGGATTTCCTCTTTTTTTTCTTAAACACTTTAAATAAAGTACTTGCAGACGTTGTGGTCTTTTTGTCAGGCCAGCCTCCGTTGTTGCTTGAGCCCTTCCTTGTAGGCTGTTTGCTGAACACCTGATCATTCTTGCTGACTTTCTGTATACAGTCTGTACTGGGTACACCTCTTTCTTAAGGCACAACATACCAATGCTGGGTGCTGTACTCCACCTGAAACCTGGGTTATATTTGTCTTTGATCCCCATAAAGTGCAGCGCTGCTGTCAAAATAAATAAATTCTGTTGACTTGTGTTCACCTTGTAATTTCTCTGCGACCATTAGATTCTTCTCCGTAGAGTTATTTAACTCGTTCTTTCGTCCAGTATTTATGTGATTGAAGTGGCAGTAATAATAAGTAGCTGCAGTGTTTTCCTCTGCGAGGGTGTCTCTGGATGGTCAATATGTCAATGAAAAAGCTAATCCTAGAGGGAAGCGTGATCAGCACGAGGAAGTTGCATGGCCTTGAACTGGAAACAACTGAAAAAGATGCTGGGGCTGTTCAAAGGGCTCTGGTGGATTTAAGCCATCTAATTTATTTTTTATTTTCGTGGTGGTTTGGCTGTATCCTTGTGGTCACAATATCTGTTAGATCAAATAGCATTGCTTCTCTGATATTTATCCCTTAGTTATGTAGAGGGAGGAATTTTGTCCCTTTTCAGCCTTAATTTTTGTGAAGTGCCTATATACTTGATGAGATATGTTATGAAGATAGGCTTAGCTGTTCTTCTCTGGGCTTGTTCTTTGTGAACAGGAACAATTACATTTTTACTAACTTTTCTGATCTATTTCATGCTGGGTGTCACTTGTGACGCAAGGGATCCAGGTTTCATTGCTGAATCTTGAACCTTAGATGACATAAATAAGCGTAAGTATGTCAGATGGTACTTTGAAGAGTGAGTCAGTGGGCCAAGTGGCCAAAATCCATCCTTGCCATCCACACAGTCCTGGAGTGCTGCCGTGGCTGAGGGGCAAACTGACAATACTGGACCCAGAAAAATCTTACAAGGATTTTCAGGCTGGAAAAACACCCCCAAAAATAGAGAAAATAAAGATCTGGGTAGAGAGAGGAAGGATTTTTTGTTATTAATTGCTATCAATATTGAGTGCAGTACTACTCTTCTAGGCCTTGGAAAATGACACCTTATTTTATTTTCTTTTAAATATGACAAAAGCAAAACCTAGGACTAAGTGGTGGATGTTGAATATACCAAAAAGGATTTGTCATCTGCTAAGCATAAAAAAACCTTAATTTCAAAAAGAAACGGGCTGGTTAGGCCCTATATGTTTGTTTTTCTTCATACGGATCATGTATTCCCATTTCTGTTCAAGCAACATATTTGGGTAAATGGAAGTGCTTTTCCTTTACAGAAATGCTATTGCAAAAATAGTGATTTAATCAAATGAGCTTCACAAAATATTCACAGTTCACCCTCTTGTGTGCTGGAGTTCAGCATTGTACAAACAGGATCAGAAATTCTCTGCTTACCTAGCAGCAAATTGGCTGCTTAGTCAGATATGCAAAACACCCTGTTGAGCATACAATGCTGAAATAAAGTTTTGATAATTTAGCTTTCTTCTATAGTGTCATTTGTTGCGGGGTCAGACTTTTCAGATAATAGCTGCACAAAGTGCCTCAGCATTCTGTGTGTCTTCTGAATGAAGCTCAAAGCACGGATCTTTACACTGGAATGTGTGCTTGGAGATGAGTTAGGGAAATATTCAGAGGCTCTCAATGTTATTACTGCTTATGTGCTGCGTTATTCTTTTTGAAAATTCCCAGAGCTTGCGATATGTTGTGTATATTTAAAAGCCCCATGAGGGGAGGAATAAAATACACTCTTCTTTCCTCCATACTTCATGAATAGTTGCTTTCTTGAAAATACAAAATGATATAGCCTTGTTTATTTTCTTACATCTCCTTCTACGGTTTCTACAGTAATCTTAAAAATGTACTCTTTCTGCCATTGTTCCTTAAATATTTGCTTTCGATTTCAGCCTCATGAGTGGAAAACCATAGGAAGGGGATGTTTGTAGTTTATTAACTTTTTAAGTTCTTCTCATAGTTGAGAGTTCTAGAAATCACTGCAGTATGGACAAAACAAGTAGAGTTGCGTTTTCAAATATTGGGTTTTTGTGGATATTCTGTGGCCACCCTCTGGTTTTTCGGTTCCACAGGTTGGCCAGGCATTCAAAGCTCTAATTAATTTGTGTGAAAACAACTACAGAAAAACCCCAAAAAATCAGTTGGCAGTTATGGGGTATCTTACCACAGGCATCAGAAAACACAGGGATGCCAGCTAGCATAAATGAGTGTGTGGCTATAAAGAAGGGTGGGTGTTCATCTGAGGAAATAGGTAGATTTACAGGATCAGATTCTGAAAATACAGAAGGGCTGAAGGAGCATGTGCAGGTGGTAGAGCTGCATGTCAGATGTATCTGCTGGTTTGCGATGACCCCTCCTGCAAACTGAGCTTTTGTGGGTGCCAAGGAGCTGTACTTGTTCTACTGTGTGCTAATTAATTCACACACAGGTTCATGAGAAATGATTATACAAATGAGAAGTCAAATGCCTTGAGTGTTTTGTATTAATTAGTATGTTTGTGGCCTTTTAAAACACTCTGACAGACATGGTCACATATATTTGAAGATACATCTCTGCATACAACTTACTAAAGTTCTAGTACCAAGAAAAGCATTAGTACAAGGACAGTAGAATGATATAAACAAGTCATCTGTGGGTTTTTATTCTTTGAGGTAAAATGGAGGGGTTCCGGCGTATTATTTATTACTTAGGGTTAGGTACTGAAGGTGGCTTTTTCTTCCTCTAAAAGGAAGATGGCTCACCAACTTTTGGGTTTCACAGACACTGGCAAAATATCTTCCCCCTTGATTTAATCTTCAGCTTGTTCCAGCTAACCACCTTCCTTCTGTAAATACTGGCGTGTCTTTAGTCAGCATTTCTGAATGTGAGGGAAACACAGGTGGGACTTAAAGCTAGGGGTCGAAATTGAATTTAAGCAAAGGAGATACTACTTACTATTTTTTTCTGCAAAGGGCTGCTTCTGTCACAGATTCACTTTATAATCATAGAGCAATGCTGTACTCTTCAGAATATCCAAACTTCACCCAAAAAAACTCCATAGTAAAGGAGGGACAAGAATGTAGAAGTAGCTATAGAGAGCATGTTTTGCTGTTTTTATTAAAAGAGTATTCTTTAGATTCCTGCCAAAAGGTCCTATTACCAAATCCTGTACATTAAGCATTCTAATTAAAAAGTGTACACACTCCCCTTAAGTCTTGATTAGCTGCACACATAGATTGTTTCCTCTGTCAGGAGCCATCTTTACTTGTTTCGGCCTCTTCTTGTGGCCTAATCCACTTTCAACAGCATCTCCCTGCAGCTGGCATGAGGCCTGACAGAGGATGGAAACCCTTGGCTTTACAGTGCAGTGGATCACACATACAGAAAGCTGTTGGCTTTAATTGCTGGTTAAAATGTTGAAATCTGGGAAGAAATGCTCTTGACATCCGTGGTGTTGCTGTCCTCTGATCTTGGCCTTCCCTCTGTTTAGGCAAGTCAGATCCTTAGTATTTCATTGAGGTTTTGATACAGGCAAGTCCACCTCACTGCAGGGATTAAGTGGATCTTTCCTGCCCTTTTATAATTTTACAGTTTCTTTGTTTGAGGATTTTTATGATCACCTTCAATCTCAGATCCCTACAAAATGCCATTGTTTTCCAGTGTCCCTCCTCTTGACAAATCAGTTCCCAGTGAGTTGTAGTTTACTGTCCAGCTTAGTTCTTCTCAGTGGGGTGATCCTAAAGTCAGATACTCCCCTGTTGCTAGCCTTACCTTTTAGAAATCTCCATCCTACATGGAGAGTAGAAGACAACAGGATGAGGAAAAGCCCAGGTTTGCATTTTGACAGGTACTGTCATTTCAGCAGGAGACCAGCAATTGTTTGAGGATTTCCAGATCACTTCTGGAAGAAGATGAGGACTGGAATGAGCTGTGCTGAGGGAAAGCGGAGCAGAAGGAGCAGGGTCTGTAGGCTTGGTATCGCTGTGACCGAAACTGGACCATGTCATCTTCAGATGAGCAAGTGAAGGTCAGTGAGCACAGTGATGTATTGAGGAGTCTTGGAACCAGGCTTTGAATTAACCAGGCCACCCCATTTGGAACCTCTAACAACAATAAAAAGAGGATAATTGATGAGGCAGAGCAAGTAAACCAACCTGAACGTAGTTGCTGTTGTGCAGACACGTGGAATCAGACCTGCAACGGAGCTTCAGCCATACCGCTGTGGTTCTTGCCAGCTCTCCCCGAGATGGAATTCACCAAGAACCAAACCTTGCAGTAAGGAAAAGGGGCTGCTGTTGTGAGATTATTGATGAGAAAGGGTTCAAACGGGGGAGGCAGTTCTCACTCCCTGATGGTTGTTGAGGTCCGATGGTCTCTTTATTTCATAACTGAAATTGCAACAGATATCCTGTAACAAGAGCAGAGTAGAAGCCAGTTGCTTCTCTGGTGAAGCTGATAAAAAGGACTTGTTTTGGGTTAACCTACCTCTAGCTTGCCTTACAAAGGTTTATTTGATGTGACAAGCATACCTGCTTCTTAGTTGTTCATTAGTAGCAGTGAATATATTTTAGCTTTTCTTTCAAGGTAGAAGAATGAACATTAATTGTGTAGACAACAGCCTGTCTTTCAAACAACAGCCATAAAGTGCCACAATGTTTTTACCTTCCCATTTCTTCAAGGTAAATATATGTGACTTGTATGTCAGTGTGGCTGTAACTTAGCACTGAAGTGCAACCACTGCCCACCATACGCAGATATTCTGAAAAAAACAAAATAGTCTTCTCTTTGTGTGGATGACTGTGACTGTCTGGTGAATTTCATCTGTGTTAAAGTGCTTTCAACTTGTTGCCCAACAGAAAATGTGTTATAGCAGTGCTTTGTTAGCATTAACATTTTTCTGGCTGTATCCACTGTATTTTCCAGGGTCTTATCTTATGTTTCTGGCTCTGGAATTCTGCATCTCTGGACTTCTGAAAACAGGGTTTGTTAATCTTTCATGCATTTAGTAAACATATATCCCAAAGCAGACTTTGTTTTGTCTTTTGCCTAGGGGCTATGTGCATAGAGTGCAGCATAAGTTTTGCTAGCTATACTTCAGAAGTGGAAGTAATTAATAAGGTGAAATCCTTAGTGTACACAAGTTTGGACTGGGATGGATTCATAGTCTATGAAATTTTCATAAAAGAAAGGTGTTTCTGCCTGTATTTTAACATTATTTTTTATAAACATGTTCCTAAGGCATTTGTATTGGAATTTCTTTTTACCAGTGCCCCATGATTTGCAGATGTGTTGTTCCTCAGCAGAAATAACTGGCTTGGCTATTTTGTAATGTTATTGTTAGAAAATCCATAAGTTATATTATTTAGAATCACCTTCTACCAAGTTTACTGTTCTGCTGATGCTGATCTTTTGTAGATGCTAGATGCAAAAGGTTTGAGAATGACAGGAGTGACTAGCCACAGCACTCAGATAGGAGCAAAAAGAAAGGATGGAGTGATCGAGCAGTCTCTATGGAGCATTAAGAGTTCTCCAGACGTGACTTTACAGCCTCATGTCCCCAGAAGGGGTTACCAGTAGAGATCAGGTGTGTGTAATACCTAAGGAAGCATGAATCAGCTCCTGGATTCCTCAGCAGGCTGTGAAACACTCTGGGGAACTGCCTGCCAAGAGTGCCGGCAAGCCAGTGACTCTCAACTTGCATTTCACTGGGGAAATGTGTTGTCAGTCAGTATCTTGCCAAGCAAGTTTAATGGGGTGGAGATTCTGGGAAAACTGGTGGGACTGGAAGTAAGTAGTACTCTTCTAATATTAAAATTGAGTTAGGCTTCTGAATAAAAAGTTATTATTTGCCTAATTTCCCCTCAGATGTTCCCATATACACATGGGTCCAAAGCTCATTCTCTGACTATTTAATAGCTTTTAGTTGGTTAAGATGCAGACCTTAGAACTAGGGGGGGTGGGGGCTGGTGTTGGGGAATGATGAGAACTCCTGGCTGGGAAATCAGGTAAGTAGAAAACTGTTTTTGTTGTTGTTGTTCCTTCTAACATCTTTTTTATGGTTTCTGTTATTTCCAGTTCTCTCATTCCTTTTTGATCTATTATTTCTGTGGATGTTTCTCAAAAAGCTGCTGTTCCTACATGTAGCAGAATGGGGAGAAGTGGTTTGTAATGTCATTTTAAAAAAACCCAAACTTTCCATGATGCCTAAAAAACAGGATGAAAAAGAAATCCTCTTTATCTTTTCAGAAATATGACCTTTTTTTTTTTTTTTTTTTTTTTTTTTTTTTTTTTTTTTTTTGTGGGGAGACTGTGGATAACCAGAGATGGGGGGCTGTCAGCTTTGGAAGCCCTTGCTTGAAAAGACAAGGATTTGAAGTCTCACACTACATTACTTCTCCCCAGGTATTTGAGTTAATGAACATAAATAGTAACCAGATAATTTTAAGCCACCTGTAGTAAAGCAATTTCCTTTGCAGAGCAGATTTTTGCTACCATCTCTCTTGGATTCTGACTACACATACCCCATGGGAGAGAAAACCTCAGCATCCAATGTAAGATCTCAGCAGGCAGGAAAATGTTTTATTTCCTTTTAAACAAAATGTAACTAGTTACACTTCACCTTTATTTTTTAGGGTATGTAAAGAAACTTCACAACCTGAAGAAAAAAAAAAACCACAACAAACAACCAAAAAACTTTTTAAATCTTTCCCCCAAATGAATATTGGAATATTTTCTTTGAGCAGGCTGTCTTTCCCTTTTGCTGTGTGTGCCTGTTCTATAGGCTATTTGAGGTCAAAGACTTCCAGGTATTTAAGATCCTCGTTCCTGAAGGTACCATGCATTAAAAAAAACACTATTCAGGAGTTCCTAGAGTGCATCCACATTTGAAGCCCATTTCAGAGTCCCAGTATTTGCATGAAGCATTTTGCATTTCAGCCACTGTTGAGAGCTCAGAGTGCCGGTAGTGTACAGGTACGTTGTGACTAAGTCATGGTGTAGCCTAACAGCCAGTTGGCATCTTGGAACTAGTCGTCACCCTTCTGGTAAGCCACCTTGTGGCTTGCTGTGCTGGAGGTGTGCCACAATTAATTACTGTGTTGGGTATTGTATGGGTTGTAGCAAGGTAATTGAAATTAGGGACTTGATCTCAAACTGAGTGATCCTGTGATACTTCTTGTTTTATACAGAATCTCAGAGTCAGTTAGAAAAGATCTTGATCATCCAGCCCAACCATGAACCTCACACTGACCGTTCTCAACTCCACCAGATCCCTCAGTGCTGAGTCAACCCAACTCTTCAACCCCTCCAGGGATGGGGACTCCCCCCCTGCCCTGGGCAGCCCATTCCAATGCCCAACAACTCCTTCTGCAAAGAAATACTTCCTAAGAGCCAGCCTGACCCTGCCCTGGTGCAGCTTGAGGCCATTCCCTCTTGTCCTGTCGCTTGTTCCTTGGTTCAAGAGACTCATCCCCCCTCTCTGCACCCTCCTTTCAGGGAGCTGTAGAGGGTGATGAGGTCTCCCCTCAGCCTCCTCTTCTCCAGACTAAACCCCCCCAGTTCCCTCAGCCGCTCCTCAACAGACCTGTGCTCAGACCCTGCACCAGCTCTGTTGCCCTTCTCTGGATACACTCGAGTCATTCAGTGTCCTTTTAGGAGTGAGGGGCCCAAAACTGAACCCAGGAATCGAGGTGCAGCCTCACCAGTGCCGTCAGTTTTCTTGATGTTACCCCACCCACCCTCAAAGCAAGGAGAGATGTGCATCCGCACTGCACTCCTCATGTTGGCGAGTGCTGCAGGCTTGTGTAGATAGGCAGTAGACCCAGTGACGCTGAGAAAGGGAGTGATGTAGAAAAACGTGCTGCTTTTTAATTATTTTTTTTTTTTAGTTGAGAAACTTCATGCAACAAATGCCTGTTTGGGCATCTGCTACTTGACCCTTACTGGGAAGTGCTATAGGTCTGCAATAAGAGAAGTTGAGGATGTCTAGAATGACTTTTCTCTGTTGCAGATCTTTTTTTGTCTCCACAAAATTTATATGGATTCACTACTGCCTCCTCTCCAGCTGCAAGTCCCTAGCCAGCCAATTTGGTATTGACAGATCAATCATTAGGGCTTCTCTAATGGAGCCAGCACTGCTGACCGGAAGGTGTTTGTCCCCCCTTTGGGTTATTTTTGTCTGAGTAATGTGCAGTAACTTGATAATGCTTTGAGATTTTAAAGTTTTTTGGTTTTGTTTTTCTTTAGCGGAGTTTCTGAATTGCACAAAACTCACTGACAGGACTCATGTCACGGAATCATTTCAGTTGGAAGTCTAGTGATCAACTAGTCCAACCCTTCTGCTGAAGCCAGGTCAACTGCAGCAAGTTGCCCAGGACTGTGTCAAGTCCAATTTGGAGACTACGCCTCCTCTGTGCAACCTGCTCCAGTGTCTGACAACACTCCCAGGAAAAAACAAAACCAAAAAAGTGTTTTCTTGTGTTGAGATGACACTTCCATTTTTTAAAATTTGTGTCTGTTGCCTCTTGGTCACTGAGCACTACCAAGAACAGTCTGGCTCTCTCACATCAGGTATTTCTATGCACTGGTAAGATCCCCCTGAGCCTTCTCAAGGCTTGAGTCCCAGCTCAGCATCTCCTTGTATGAATTCAGTCCCTCAGTCACCCTAATCAATTAGTCAGTTTTTTTGAGAAGGGCCATAAAATACATGCAGGCTACAGCATGCTTTGTGAGTGTCAAACCAATATGTTATTCAGGAAAACCTTGGTTTTGTCAGCCCTGCCAGGTAGTGGCTCTTTCGGTCCTCTCTTCTGTCACACTTCATGGAACCTTCACTCCATTCTTCTGCTTTTTATCTTTGTTTTGGCCAAAAGAGGCCCTCCAGGAGTGTATTTTGGGCCATTGTTCCTTTGGTGTACATTGGCCAGGAATTCAGAGACTTTCAGCAGCTTTGTTCCCAGCAGCCACTAGCACAGTGAAGTAGCAGGGGGAGAAAAGAGAAAATGAATTCTAATGGTTGGGCAGAACATACCAGTGGAGAGTCTGGCAGAGGTGCAGCAGCTGCTGGGGCTGACCGACTGCCTCTGAACTCCTGCTGTGTCCCAGTAAACCTATTTCCTAACAGCTCCTAAATACCAGTTGTTTCCTAACAAATTCTTCTGTTTATCACAGAAAACTCTGTAACACCAAGTATCAAGCAGAGCTGCAAGAAATTTCCAGTATAGGCAAATTGTTAGGCTTGAGGCCTGAACATATTTTTTGGAACTTAATGCCATCTCTGTGTTCCTGTTATCTCAGATTCCTAATTTAGATTTGAGATCTCTAAGGGGTTCACTTGAACATACTCTTTACTAGCACTTTAAAAATGTCAGGCATATGTTTGTCAAATTTAGAGCTGGTTTAAGCACAATTATGCATGCATTTAAGCATAGTAGTTAAGTGATTTCATGAACTATATCAGTAAGTTTATACTAATATAATTACACTGATACTAGCAAGTTTTATGAATTAACTGTATTTGTTTCCAAACAAATGTAGCTGGTTGTTTTGGTACAAAATCTGTGCATAGACAAACCCTCACTTTTGCTAATAATGTGGTATTCCAAGGTGGGATGTGTTTTGTAAGATGCATCATAATATTCTTTCCCTTAAACAAGAGGAAACTGAGGAGCTGGAACAAGATGCTTAAGTAAAAATTGGGTGTAGATTTTGTCTATTTTGGGGAGCTTTGGGGTGATTTTTTTATTGTTGGATTTTTGTTTGGTTGGTTTGTGTGGGTTTTTTTTTTGTTTGAGGGAATAAGGGCTATAGGTTTCAAGGAAGAAGCATGCTTGGCAGCAATCCAGAGATTGTTTCCAGTGTACCATAGTTAAAAAAAAAAAAAACAAAAAACAAACAAAAAAAAACCCCCACAACTCAGAATAATGTGCAAAATTAGTATTGTTGGGGTGGGGAAGGTCATCTTTGCTGGGGGCATCTTCGTCTGGCTCCTCACTTCTACCCCCCTGAAGATTCACCTGCGGAGGGGGACACGCAGATTGTTCCTGGGAAATCACTTCTAAATCAGAGTCCACTCCTGCAAACTGTGCAACACAAGATACCTCCCCTTTGGAGCTGGGGGGATTGATGGGTGCGGGGGCAACAGCTGTGGGGGACTCGGGGGCTCTCTGGATGCCTGAGCGGAGGAGCAAGGCGTTGGGAGTCCCGCTGCAGTAACCCAGTCCCTAAGCTTGCTTCTGTCTGCGTGCACAGTCATTGTGACAGCTGACGGCCCCTGGTGTGGCGTTCCTGGCATTAAATATCAAAGTTAGCCTTTTCCTTCTGTTTCCCAATTCCAGAAACCCCGGTAAGTCCTGACCTCTCTAGCTCTTGGGAGTGCTGCCATAGTCTGTCTGCTGTGGCCACCTGACAGCCGTGGGCACCCGGATTCATCTTGGAGGGAGACTTGTTTGAAAGGGATAAGCCTACATTTTTAAATTAGATGAGCTGCCAGCTCTCAACAGCAATTCTGTGAGGAATGCAGTAAAAAGTCCAGTCTTTTGTCTGGAGTGGATGCCATCTTCCCTCCAACTGCTTTGCGGGTAGAGAAACCTCCAGGATCAACTTATCCCTGATCTGGTTTAGGGACTAAACTGGAATGGGCAGAAATGTGTGGATAGAAGTTTCGTATCAAAGCATCTGTTTTTCAAAATTAATGTGATTGTTTCAGTAATGTTTGGGGGGAAAAAAATCTTTGAAAATTGAAAGTTTTGTTTTACCTTCCCTGCCTCACTTTCTATTTGATAGCGTAAAGGGTCTTGTTTGATTTTCAGACCTCAGATGTTACTATTTTTGATATTTTGAAGGTGGTTCTTGCCTCAGCAGGTCCAGCCGGGTGCTGCCTTTGGAACAGCTCAGCTGGCCGTGGGGAATTGCTCCTTGGTCGCAGCTACTCCACAGTGTTCCCTTCCCGGGGGTGCCTGCAGCATGGGACCACCCTCGCAGCCGCGGGGCCTCGCACGCTGCAGGCCGGTAGCTGGGCCAGGCTGTTTTCCGTTTTGAAACGCAGACATCAAAGTGAAAGAAATATTCTAGTAAATTTTATTTTGAAGCTCTAAGAGAAAACTTTCATTTTCCCATGTGTTTTCCATTTTGTTAGTTTTGCAATATCAACTTTTCATCCTGATGCAGATTTTTTTTTTTTTAAAGCGAAACAAATCTAGCACTTTCCTAGAACAGAAATCCCATTTTCACACATGCGTTTCCATTGATTTTTGTGGGACTACTAACATACATAAAGTTAGGCAGCTCCAGAGTGTTACTGAAATCTCAACCATAAATTTTGTAAGATGTTAAAAGTGTTCTGTCAGATTGTGGATAGTAAATTCTGGATGTAATGAAATTGTTCATAACTTTTGGGGAAAAAAACTGAGATGGCATTTCCCCCAGTGATTTACAATGGCTGTAATTTTTAAAGGGCTTAAAATAACTTTCCAAATCAAAATTATTTCAATCACTTCTCTGAACAAACAGGGATGCTATGCTGGCCATACTGCTATCTAATTAAATATTTACTATACGTCTGTATCTGGTGGCTGAACCAGGACGGTGGAAGTGCTGATGCAGGCAGCTCTGAAGCCGCGTGTCTTCCAGCTCTGCCTCTGACCTTGGCGGGCTGACCCTCCGCCTCCCTCACCCTTGCTTTGCTCTGGCTACTCTCACCCTGGCACTGTCACTGCCAGCCTTTCATCCCTAAAGCTTTTCTGGCTCGCCTGGATTTTATTTCCAAAAATCTCTTTGACAGGTGAAAATGTCTTTCTTTGAAGTTCCCCGGAGAGGCAGATTCCCCTTTGCTCTGCAGTTTGCTGCACCAGCGCCTGTGCTGCTGTGTGTGTAAATGTTTCTGTTTGCTCTACAAGCCTTTTGCCTCTGCTGTGCTCTAAATACTCCTCATTTAACGAAGCAAAGTTCTTTAATTACTATTTTTCTTTGTGGAATGGCTCATGGTCCCTTGGTCTTTTGATACTATCAGACTGAAAGGGGAAAAAAAAATCCTTTAAACAATTTTCTGACTCCCTCTAGAGGATTTCTTTCCAAGCCCAGAAATAGCTCCACAGTGGGAGAAGCCGAGTGTTCAGTCACTGTGCCTGCACAGCCAGGTTTCAGTGCAGATTACATCTTTTCCAGTACCCACAGACTGCTTTCTTCTGTCAGTTGCTGCTAATGTCTCCCAGATTTTATTCCCACTGTTCTTTAAATATAAATGCTCGTGGTCCGTTTTTCCTTAGGCAATGCGAGCCTGGCAGTCTCTGCCGAAGGACCCCACCGCAGTCATCGCTGCCCGGAGAGCAGCCTGTCTTGTGATGTGCTCACTTTGCACCAAACTTTCTGAGACTATCATATAGAGAGTTTAATTTTAACACCTTTTGGATGCCTTCTCCCATTGCAATAGTGAAATTTAATGTCTGTCACGAGTAGCAACTCATTTTCATGATGTCGTCTTTTTTTCCCCTTCTTATCAAGGGGCATGCATCCTTTTCTTGTATACTTGTCCTTTCTTATTGCTGTTCATTGTGTTATGCCACAGGTGATGAAAAATGCCATTGAAGTTGGACAGGCTGGTGTGGCTTCTTCACAAAGGTCACAGGAAGAGCAGAGACCTTTTTAATGGAGCATACTAATGGGTTCCTGCTCTGAAAGGTGGTAACATCGTGTCTGTAAAGAAAAATCCTCCAGGGCACTCTGGGTGTGAAGCCTGCTTTTCTGACATTTTTAAATGGTAAGGAATTTAACCATCATACTTCAGATGCATTATCTTATGTAACCATTCAATACCATTATCTTATTTAACCATTTCAGTTGTGTTGTCTTAGTTAACCAACAGAATGTTGCTAGCAAAAGTTAGAACAAGCAATCCTGGACAACTCTTACTGCCCCTTGTTAGTTCAAAATTCTTTCAGGATCTTCCTTAGCAAGTGGCTGTGGATAAGAGCTAATAGCTGGTTTATTGCTGCACTAAATCAGTCTCAATTTGTTATAGGTTGCAGCCATCACTAATTCACCCTATTATTTCCTAAAGGAAATGTTAACCTGCACAATCGCTTTAAAAGCAGTAGCTAATGATGGGCAATATAATTTGATTCTTTTAACATACTTGCAATCAAGAAAAAAGTAAATCGCAGTGTCACCAGCTAACGCTACCATCAGTCCCTCAGCCGGAGGGTCAGGTGTGGGGTGCATGCCGGGACCTCTCCCCCTCTGTCCTCCCTCATCAATCCTCCGCTCCACAATTCCGCTGGTTTCTTTGCAGAATTGGGACCTGGATGATTTAATCCACAGCAGTGGCTGCAGAATAAAGGCAATGCTGCCTCCCTGCTTCTCACCCATTGCCTCACTGCTGGGACATGGCAACCCCTGCCATGCTACCTATAAGAAGCAGGGTTATTTCAACCCCTTGACCAAAATCCCTGAAAAACCACAGTAAAAAGGACCTTGGGGATTGGTTTGCCTGGGGTGTTTCTAGAGGACACGGCCCATATTGGTGGTGGTAGGCACCGATGCTACGGTGGAATTGGTTATTTATTGCTGGTCATGCACCCAGCCTACAGCTGTGTGTTTCTCTGCCCTAATTACAGCAAATTGTGACTGCAGTAACTTAATATTTGGATCCTGCATCCTAAAAATGGTTTGGTTTTATGGTGTTTCACTTGCAATAGCAGAGAACCCCCAGAGCACCAGCACTTAACTGGACTTTATTCATTTTTTCAGTGTACAGCTAACACACACCCGCACCCTCCGGCCCAATGGGCCAGGTTGGCCGTACCCTGTGCAGGTCCAGCCACAGGTAGCAACAAGTTGATCCCCAGCTCCCTGCCTGGGGAGAGTGCTGGCAGATGTGTGTGGTTTTTTCCTCTTTTTTTTTTTTTTTTTACCCTAAATCCCACCAGCCTGAGGTTTTCCCAGGGGTGCTGCAGTGCCTGAACAAAGGGGCCGAAGCTGCAGTGGCCATTTCTGCAGGTGGCTACTGATTTAGCTGGTCCTGGGCTCATGTGCCTGTTTACTTCCCAGGAACCGTGGTGGTTTGTGTTGTGCTTTATTCGTGGCGCTGAGCATGTAAAAACAGATAAGAAGCATTAGAATTACTCATAAATGGGATGCTGACCTGCTTGGCTACATAGACAATTCCTCACCAAATGAAAATGCTGAATGCCAAAAAAGATTTTAAAGGGACTGTCGTTATACAACTGAAGTGGCATTAGATATATTATTTTAGTGTTTTGTGATACTTCTTTTTAGAAGGTTGTAAGTGCCTAGAAGCTATGTAGCTTCTCTGTGCTTATAAAAATATATTTATGCCCTATAGGTTAAGGGTTGTTACTCCATCACATCATGAGGGGCCTGAAGGAACATAATGTTCACCTATTTAGGGAAGTGGCAAGCTGAAATAGCTCTTGTGCAGCGCTTAAAGTAGCAATCTGGTGTGAATGCTTGAGCTTTTCTGCCACCAAGCGAGGCAGAGCGTGAAGTGATGAGTGACTGGCCCATCTTCTCTCTACAGTCGTCGTCTCCCATGAGTAATGTTGCTTTAAAATTTCATTTTCTTCGTGGTGTTTTCTACCTGTTTCTTCAAATTGTTCCCTCATTTCAAAGCTTGTCATTTGTTTCACTGAAAGTATTTGGTTATACCCCGAAGGCGTTTGCTTACTGATAGTGCATTAGTCTATTGTTGATGGAAATGATAACTTATATCAAGGCTCTTCTTCTTGTTTAAATCTTGACTTTATCAAGAATGATGTTGCCAGATGTGTTACTTGGAGTTCAGCGAGCGAGCAGGCCATGGAGCCCTGAAGCCGCTGTTACCAGCCCAAGGAAAGCTCATGAATTTATTCCAGTATGAGCTCATGTTCTTCTACAGTGTATCACCCTCTAACCTTCAAAAGGAGCAGGCGCAGAAGAGGTTTGATATTTCTGTTTGTACAGGGGCCTCTGCCTTGTGGTTAATTGTACTTGTGCCTGTGGGAAGCCATTGCTCCTGTTAGTCATGCTGCATAAACCACCTTTTTCCCTTTGATTCTTTGCTGAGTAATGGCTTGTTAGGGAAGACTGAAAAACTTCACGTTCTCGCTCAGAGATTGAATCGACTGGAATAAATCTATGGCCTTTTCACAGTCTTCTGTGGACATTTTTATGGAATATGTATTTTAAATACCTAGCCATTATAGAAGGTTTTACAGAAATGAAAATAATATTAGGCTTTGCTTCCTATATAGCAATAAAACTTTTAAATTATCTCCAAAAATTCTACCTGAATAAACTGTTAAAACATTATTCGTAGCAGAAGACAATGCCAGATAAACCTGTTAAAGTACATCAATGACCTGAAACCTTTCCTCCTTTACATACACTGTGCTTGGGGTGGTAGAAGTTGTAGGGCTGTTGCTAACTGAGGCATAAGGAGCATTTGGAAAGAGCAGAAGGCACTTGCAGATGCCACCAAAGTTTATAATATTTCTATTCTGTTGGCAGTTTACTTGATTGCAGCATTTATAAATGTTTTCTGATGAGATAGAGGAAGGGAAAAATCTTTTTTCTTTCCCCGTTTAAGAAATCGGTCCATATGATAGCTCTGCCTTTGAGCTCCCAGCTGACAGCATGGAGCCCGTCAGCACCTTTTGTGGGATGTGAGTGCCGTTTCAGTGGATGGAAGGGCTTTCTGGGGAGCCTCCGGGCAAGAGGATGCAACGTCAAGTCACAGCTGATGGGCCTTCTGCTCCTCCACGAATTGCTATTCGGGGGAGGCTTGGAGGAGATTTTGAAGAAGACAGCTGAGTACAAATCAGTATTTTTCTTGACAGCCCTGGTTCTCTTCTTCTCTTTCCAATTTACATCTGTCCTCCAGAGATGACAAATCACAGTGTAGGAACCAGAGAAGCTTTCCATCTTCTGGATTAGAGGGTGGGGTTGGGGATGGGGTTTTTTGTAATTCCACAGGCAAAATGGGTTAATTGATACTTTCCCTTCTGTAAACACTTTGAGATCCCTTAGATTTTTAGATTCTACCATTGCTTTAATAGTAGTATATCTGTGATTTCCCCATCACCATTCTCAGGTTAATTTTTAGTCATTAAGATTGATTGTCTAAATTAGGAAATTACAAAGCTTCATGCTATTGAAAGCACTGCATGAAAGTCTCTGTAAAACCTCATTTGTTAGAGAACTGATGGGGAGAAAGCTCTTTGTCATCAAAAGTCAAATTTATTTTCTTCATATTTTCAGCCTTGCTCCAAACACAATCTCTTGTGTGGATGCTGTTCTGTAGTTAAAGCTTTAGCTGAAAAATTTATAGGATCTTATTTATTACATACATGTTGAGGTATTGTGAAGCCTCAAAGACAGGAGAAAGGCAGAAGTTTATTTGCATTCTGTCAGAAAAAAATCACACACCCTTTTTAGCAAATAAATGCTTATGTAACATTTTAATTTGACTTTTATAATGGTTTGTTTTGTTTGCATATCTATTTCTTAAATTTTGGTTCCTGATTAACCGTGAAGTTTTTAATTGTGAAATTCTTACTATTGTACATTGTCTGTCTCTCAGAAAAACCTAGAATTAGGAAACAATTTGAAGTACTGTAGGTTGAGCAGTTAGCGCAACGCAGCCTTACTATTAAGTTTCAAGGTTCAATATTGTCTTTGCCATTTTTCCCTTTGTGTGCCTTTTTAATTTTGGAGACTTCCTGATGTGCAGTTTTTAAATGATGTAGATAGTAGCACAGCCATTGTAATGATCACACCAGAGGAGCGGTTGTACAAATGCACGCTGGCATTTCATTAGTCCTGTTCTGCTGTGCGAGTTATTTAATAGCTGAGGTGGAAACTTGCACAGTTCCTTTATCTAGCACTGGAAGATCAGATCTCATTTTTATATTACTTTTCATGTATTTTTTCCAAAGCTGCTCTTTTGTATTGCTCAGGAGGGACCAGTAAGATTCTCTGTACTCGTGCAGTGTGTCAGACGGGCAAATTGTGACCAGCTTTATTTCTAACTCACTCTGACATGGTTAGGATGAACTGATTATGTAAGGTAGAAGTCAATCCCCCCAAAATAAACCTCTGAACTTTTGTGAACACTTGAACACCTTCAAATATGTACCTGGGGGATAGTGAGGGCAGTGTGGCACGGGGGAAGGAGGTGTGTCATGTTCTCTAGGTCAGTAACTGGAAGTGGTCAGACTGCGTCGAGTCACTAGATAGGATGCTTCATTATAATATCATTTATAAGATGTGAAATGGGAAAATAATTCATTTTCTCTTTGTTTTTAGAGGCTCGATCCTCTGAAGCAAATTCCAGCTTTGGCAGGGAATCTGTGTTGCAGAAAAAATCTGTACAAGTTTTGGAGGATTCACCAAAAAAAAAAAAAAAAAAAAGAAACTGAGCTGTAAAAAAGAGACCACTCTCTTCTGTTCTTTCACAATAGAGCTGTGCAGCTTTCCTTTACCAGAACTGCTTATGACATGGCAACTTCTATTCAAAGCAGAAGATTATAAAGTACAGAGAACAGCAAATTCAAGCCTATGTATCAAATTGAGATCACATTGTTTGTGTTTGTGCTGAGTGACTGATTATGCTTCTAAAAATTTTGCTTTCTTTTAGCATTGCAGCATAATTTCAGGAATGTGAAATATATAAAGGTAATTTTAATGAGGGGACTTTGGAACGTGGTTGTATTTATTTCTTGTTAATTACTCACTGTTTTGGTGCTACTGTGTATATGATAAACCAAATTCCTTTGCTCTTGAAACTATTAGGGAGCTTTCCTGTTGATTTTTATGGGAGCAATGTCAAGGGAGACAAAGGGCAATCCTTACAGGTTCCCAGTATGGAAAGATTTGCATGAATTTAGTTTTAAAATTTGTAAAGTAGAGCCTTTCATAAAGATGCTTATGTATTCCCAGTGAAGAGGATTAATTTCACCAAGTGGCACTTTTTATAATATGTCACTTAGTTTTGACATGTCACGTGATTTCAGTGCTAGGATTTCAGTATTGAAGTAGGAATAGTAGTCATACGTTGTTTTCTGACTTCATGGTTTTCAAACATAATAATGTGTCATGTTTTTCAAAAGTTTGTGATATACTGTGAATTTTAGAACGTTTTATTATAGTTGTTAGTGATGACCAGCTTGGTTCAGTATTTCAAAATAGCTCTGGGTAGAGAAACTTTGCCGCTTCTGAGATGCGAATAATTTTAAAGAGTGCACTGTACTTTTATGTAGTTGTACGGTACTCTTAAAAAGTTGTACTTTTTTAGTTGTGCTGTGCTGTCCAGAAATACTAATTCTAATGATAAAAGAATATACAGTACACCTGTGGGGCCACTGGCCTTATAGGAGGCTTTTAGGCCTGAATGTACGTTAATTCATATGCAAAGTTTGTACACATAATTCTTGCATTTCAGCATGTAGACCGAGTGGCTATTTAGAATCTACCTGCTGTAATTTTTTTTTTTTTCAAGATAAAAGGTAGGAAATCAAAGTGTAAATTCAAATGTTCATTTGAAAGTGTTCATTTGCAAGTTGGATTTTGACATTTTTAAACTTGAAAAAGCCTATGTTCTCCCCCACATAGTGCATATAGAGGAGAAGCAAATTTATGAGTTGTGAGTATTGTAAAGAATATATTCATGGATATACTGGGGTTTTTTTCTTGGCCTGGTTTGATTGCTTCTTCACTAAAAATAGTAGCCTTAACTTTGAGTTTCCAGGCCTCCTAGGCATAATGTTTTGATTAAAGTTGTCTCCTTCCACCCCAGTTTTTTTACAGTAGTTCGTCTTAATTTGAACCTAAAAAATTCAGTGTGATGATACGGTGGTGAATATTATCACTTCAATGAGCTGGAAGTCCTGATGTGATTAAAGTTAGTTTTTGTGTTTGACAGATGATGGTGCATCATCCATCCTCATCTACTGAGATTTCGGCTGTTGATGCAGCCGGTGCTCTGGTCCCTGGGAAGAGCTTTTCCCTTGCACAGCAACTGCCCGCCCTTCAGCTGTGTGCTGAGCAACGGGACCTTTTTCAAACCAATAAGCTCTTAAGGAGCACGTTTCCCATGCTCTTCAGGGCATAAAAACTGCGCCTTCCAGGAGCGGCGTGGAAAAAAAACTCCATTTCACTGCAGAGACAGAGTGAAATGGCAAATTCACTGCATTATTCATCCACTCAGGAAAGCAGGGTTACCATCTAGTGTGGCAAACGGGATGGATTGTCTGTAAATAGGAAGATTAGATATGTTCTGGCCAAAGCGCCTTTGTGCTGAAATTTGTGCTCTTTGTGACGCTGACTGAAAGGTGAGCGTGGCAAACGTACACCTGCTGTTTAAAAGCTGTTTAATACTCTTTTGCAGCACCACAAACCACTCCCTGTAGGACAAGAGCAGCTAAAGAGGAGGAAACCCTGAAGAGCCTCGTGGACATTCTGCAGTGAGGAACACGAAACGTGCCTGCGCAGGGCATGCCAGCTCAGCTTTCAGCCACTACACCCCCTCTTAATGATAACGCTGGTGCTCTCTGCTTAGAAGTATACAGGAAATATGCTAAAAAGCAAAAAAAAAAAAAAAACAACCCACCCTAGAAAATGTCGCAATACCAAGAAAACCCATTAAATCTACAGCGCTCCAAACTGACCCAGATGTTTCTGTAGTTTTATGTGTTTGAGTCCACTCAGCTGAGAGAAGCCCTGAAAGTCTTAACATTGCAAACTGCTGCTACAAAACAGAAAAATGAGACTCTCAATCAGTGAATCAACGGATTTAGTGAAATCTTCGAAATTTTTTTTTAAAAAAGGAATGTTAAATATCACAATTAAGTTTGAAAACACAGAACCTCCCAGCAAAATGATGAAAAAGGTTGTCCGAGTCTGAGAAGGTGGAACATCAAGCATTAAACAAACTGCATCTCAGTGAGCATGCTGAATCGGCTGGAATCTAGACAGCAAAAGCTCAAGCACTATAAAAGAAGTAGGGAATTTGTAAGAACAACTGTACAATTCTTCTAACGCTTCCTCTGTCTCTGTCTGTCTGCTCTAGGAGAGAGCTACATATATTGATAGTTATGTTGAGAAAAATATTCCAGCTTTTAAGAATGGTGAAGACACTCTAAAAAAAAAATAGTTAAATACTAATATCTGGAACATTACCATTGTCTTTCCTTGAGGTTTAAAAGATTGATTTTCAGTTTTGTCAGTCACTCAAAGCAGATATAACTGTATTTATCCCAGCAATTAGAAGTTACAATTTTAAAATCTTTCTACTCGTCTCTGTTATGTGACAATGCTAAATTGGACTGTAGTGAAATAGTGAGTAATGCTCATTTGGCTTTTCCAAATTTTCCTGTGTTTCATATGTGCATGTAAGAGATGACAACTCAAGTAACTCATTTTTTTTTGTAATGCACTCGATGTTCTACACTAATGGCACAACAATAAATTGGCTTCAACAGTTTCTCAATCTTTTTTTTTTTTTTTTGTGGACATATTCCAATTTTCATTTTATCATTGGAAAATGTGTTCTTACTTAAAAATAGTACCATGCAATATTTGCATTTTCTGCTGCTAGTTGCCATATTTTTGGAGCTCTGTATTATTTCTATTTTCTGACTATTTAGATTTTTCTTTTGGCTTTAGTTAAATTCTTAGAAGGCTTCTGTCAAATATTGTTCTTTTCTGAAACAGTCTTCTGCAGGAGTTCAAAGCTGCAATGGGAGTTTTGGGGGTTTTGACACAAAGGTGTTTTTAAACTAAGTATGTTCACTTGTATGTCTTTTAGTTCAGTATCCATGACATGCTTTTTTATTGCTTTTTCCATTAAAAATGGGTTTATACCATGCTGATACAAGGCTTATATTCAGAGAAGTCCAGCATGCACATTCTTGGTATTTTAATACCAAGTAAAGGAAATAATTATATTTAATTTAAAAATATATTTCTAGCATAGTCCATTATTTCATAAATTTGGCATATTCAGTTAAAATGTTTTCTTAACACTTTTTTTCTTCTGCCCGACGAAAATTAAAAGCAATAGGCTGTTGGCTTTAAGCCATTGACTTTTAATGTGTACACATATAAATGGTACAAAGAAATAAAAATGCGGCGTGGAGATAGCAAAAAGCCTCACAGAAGGCAGCAGATCCTGCCTGTTGTACAGCAGAGTTTCACAAATATGGGCAATTGTGGTAATGAGATGAAAATGAAAGTTGGTGGCATTGGAACTGAACTGTCGTGGGAAAGTTTTGGAATAATCTGGGTAAGGAATCTGGAATCTCATTTGTCTTCTCTTGTCAGAGAAATTGCAAGGAATTTATCTGCTTTTCCACTTGGAACTATACATAAATGAACTTCTTGATTGTGTGGAGTAGTTGCATAAGTTTTTACTTGGAAACAACTGAATTTTTAGTATGCAGTTTATTTATAAATTGTTGACAGCTTTGATTTTTCATTTATTATTATCGATGTTGCTTGTTTTAACTTAATAATTCATGTTCCTTCAATGGGTCAGTAGAACTTTGTGGCAGAAAAATAATGAATAGTGAATACAGCACTCTGAACCACAGATTTTTGTATAAGTAATCGGTTTTGAAGTTTTTGGAGTTCTCTGGCTTTGCAAATGTTCTCACCAACTCTAAGTAGCTGTCTTGTTAGGTATTGCTGTCAGGGGAACAGCAAGGTCGCGGGAAGTAGATTTTTCTGCTTCTTGTGAATTATGAGGTTTTTTACTTGTAGGCAGTATTGAGAAAGATTAAGGCTCTAGACAGTTTTCAGTGCAGGATTTTGCAGTGTCAGATGCTTTTAGAACAGATGCCTTATTTTCACATGCTTGTATCGATACAGGCTAATATATGTATGTTTTGGTAGAGTGTGGGGGTTTTTTAAATACCTCTCTACTCTTAGTATGTTGGAGTACAGCTGTCTTATGACACAAGTCTGTGGACATAACGCACTTGAACTCATGCCCGTTGACTGTAATAAATTGTAGGACTTTCTGCAAGACCTGGGGGAAGAATCCCCTCTGGGGTTGCACAGGTTGGATGTGAAATGGAAGCAACCTCCACGACATGGCTACTATCCGCACACGAACAGAGTACCTGGCATGTTACATTCTCTAGAGGGGTTTGAAATATGTACAAAACATGAGATTAATGCCTGGTTTGCCAAGTGGGTGGATGGTGGTGTCACATCAGGCGTGTGACTCTGGGGATGCAGCAGAATCCTAATCAAACTGCATCACGATGTCTCGCCTGATTTGACCTCCCTGCTCTGTAGATAATTTTTTTTTCAAGTTTTAAACCCCTTTATTTTTCAGTAGCTTGATGCTTCGAAATACCCTGACTCACCAAAACTTGGCAGTGTTTTAGAGCATGGCAGGTGGAAGCTTGGGAGGTTGATGTCTCCCATGCTTCAGCCCCCAACACCATGATTGCTGGCACTTGGGTGGTCAGTGGGGTGCTCTTAGGCAGAGCACCTCGATGCATGTCTGTCCGTGGGGTTAAAGATTATGGGATATAAATGGAGTTAGACCTCCTTCTTGACTGTGGGATTGAGGCACCCTCAGCACGTTCCCCACTGACACCGAGCTGTGTGGAGTGGGGGACATGCTGAGGGGAGGGATCCATCCAGAGGGATCTGGGCAGGCTGGAGAGGTGAGACGTACAAACCTTGTGGAGTTCAACAAGGCCAAGGGCAAGGTCCTGCCCATGGGTTGGGGTGATCCCAAGCACAAATCCAGGCTGGGCAAGTAGTGGCCAGCCCAAAGGAGAGGGGTTGCTGGGTGGAAAGCTACCTGTGAGCCAGCAACGTGTGCTGGCAGCCCAGAAAGCCACCCGTGTGCTGGGCTGCACCCAGAGCAGGGTGGGCAGCAGGGAAAGGGGGGGGTGGTTCTCCCCTTCTGCTCTCAGGAGACCCCCCTGCAGTGCTGGGTCCAGCTCCAGGGGCACCAACATCAGAAGGACATGGACCTGCTCGAGCGGGGCCAGAGGAGGCCACAAAGATTCTTGGAGGGCTGGAGCACCCCCCTGTGAGGGCAGGCTGAGAGAGTTGGGGGGTTCAGCTGGAGAAGAGAAGGCTCCGGGGAGAGCTTAGAGCGGCCTCCCAGGGCTGAAAGGGGCTACAGGAAAGGGGGGAGGGACTCTTGATCAGGGGGGTAGGGTTAGGATGAGGGGTGATGGTTTTAAACTGACAGAGGGGAGATTTAGATGAGATCTAAGGCAGAAATTCTTCTCTGTGAGGGGGGTGAGGCCCTGGCAGAGGTTGCCCAGAGAAGCTGTGGCTGCCCCCTCCCTGGCAGGGTTCAAGGCCAGGTTGGCCGGGGCTTTGGGCAACCTGGGCTAGTGAAGGTGCCTGTGGCAGGGGAGTTGGAACTAGGTCCCTTCCACCCCAAACCCTTCTGTGAGCCTTAGAGTCCTACTACAAACATGAATGAGCTGTGTTGTGCCAGCTGCACGCAGCATCTTGCAGCAGACCTCGTGCAAGGAGGTTTCTCCATCCTTGCCTGGCCGCAGAGCTCATGGCTCTGCTGCCCCACTCACCATTGCACAGCTGATGGCCCGTGGTGGTTTCTGTCAACAGCTCAATGATGTGCGTTTGAGCAGCCACATGCTCTCTTCTGTTGTTCAGAATCTTTAGGCAGGGACCCATAAGCCACTTTCAAAGTGGTTCTGAAATAACCAGGTAATTATGGAAATGTCACAACCAGATGCTCCTTAAGGTTTCAGTTGAAAACCTTTTTTTATTTGACATAAAGTTTCACCGGGGCTGACTTAGCTTAAACCTTTAAAAGGGCACGCATCTCTCTGTTACGGTCATTTAGGGTAAAATCATTTAGACTGCAATCCACAGGTAACTGAAGAGCACTGGATCTTTGAATAAACAAGAATGAAAGCTCTATCAAATGTCTGATTTAAGGTGAGTTTAAATATTAAGCATGTTATAGTAGACTATTCATCAAAGAAAGATTTATTTTTGTCACCTTCGATATAATTTAAACATCTTTAAGGTTTCTGCTTTGTAGAAACATTTGTGTAAAATCTGAGCAGACTTATTTGTAGATATAAGTTGCATAATTTTTTAATATATACATCATGTCTTGCCTTAATGCAAAAATTCTGATAGGTGGTAAATAGAAAATTAACTTGACTATTTTTTTAGGGAAAAAAAAAAAGGAAATAAGATACTTTAAGGAGGATTTTTTTAGATGGATTCCTACTGGCCAGTTATAATTTTGTATTAATTATGGTTGTTTTGAGTATTTAGAGCATTGTAGATTACAGTTTGTGGAATTATAAAGTGCTGAAGTATGTTTAACTTAGTTCTAAGAAAAGAAATGAAGCACAGCATTTAAATCGTGATGCTTTTGTGCATATTTTTAACATGAGAGAAGCAGTAATTTATCCTGGTGACCAATTGTTTAGATTTTATTTCCTCAGAAGTATTTGGATAGTGTTTTTAAAAAAATCTAAAAATTACTCTTTATTTAAAGGATATTAATTTCTTAAATATTTATCTTTTATTTGTAAGCGTTTTATTTCTCCTTTGTCTGTACACATTTCTTTTTTGACTGTCTTTACCTGAAACTCAGCGTGGCATGAATACACTGCTACACTATATTATCTCCATTCTCCTTTCAAAAGTTGCCACCAATCTGAGGTTTGGTTAATGCTGTAATCAAGTGCCCGTTGTATTAAGCTTGAAGTCCATTGGGGTATTTTCAGACTATGGTTGTTTTTCAGTAGTGCAGGGCAGCGCAGCTCCTCCACGCAGTCCCTTCTCCTCCTGTTTGGGAACATTTACAGTAAGATGCTGGCAAAAGGCAACAGGGGACTTATCTCAGAATTACAAGCCAGATCCTGTAAAAACTGAGTTAGCTTAGAGACTGAGATTCCTGATAAATAATGAAAGTTGGTCCCTGTCTAGCTAGTGGCTGGTTTGGGGCCGTAACAATTCCTGTTGTGTGGAGAGGGAGCCCAGTTGTTCTTGCTTGGAAAGGATGGAGAGTCATGAGTTTCAGGCATCATGATGTGACTGTGGGTGTTGAAGCTTTCAGGAAAACATCAAATGTCACTGATGTGAGGGTGCCACTGCAAGAAATACCAGCTCTGCTCTCTCTGCCTGCCGCTGTGCTTCACCCACCGCGTCGGGAAAACTTCACTGGGCTGGGAAGAAGAGCATGATAAAATGGGTCAAAGTTGCCAATAAATGCAAGAAGCTATGAAAAATAACTTAAAATCACAGCTCATGGCTTGACTCTCTTCAGGCTAGATGAGGCCAGGCAGGGTGGCTTTCCTCTCAGAGCAGAGATGCCCTTACCTCGGCCCCTATCCTCCCCGCAGTGGGGGGCTGGATTTACCACCTCCCACCAAACACGAGGGTTCTCGTCCGATGTCTGCGGGTGTCTTCGTGTTTGAGCTCCCTGAGTGGGGATGTTGCCTTTGAAGAGGTGACTCAGGAGGGCAGGGGCATGTTTCACAGTTGCTTCTTGCCTAAATTATTGCTCAGCAGTATCACAGGGATGTACCTCTTCTGTATTAATTACAGCTTCTTCATTTAAGCAGGCATGAGCCTCCCTCCTTGCTGCTGGGGCATTATCTCCTCATCCTCGGGTGTTTTGCTAATTCAAAGGCTGTTGGTTGTGCTTGTACATTTGATTTTGCTCTTGGAGCACCAGGCAGTTGAAGCACCATCCTTTAAAATTTTACAGATGTATAATTTGATTCTAGCACTAAAGTAGCTTTAATTAGTGATTTAAACAGCCTTGCACTGGGCTCTAAGTTTTCTCTGAGCCTGCTCTGGGTTTTTGTAGAACTGGCTCCTTGTCTCCAGGCTAGCTTGCATGGCTTGGGTTACCTTCGTACATTCCAGCACAGTCAAAAATTCGGGGTTTGTGGTCATCTTTGAAAGCCCAAGAGGGGAATCTCTGCAGGCAGAGAAAACAGAAGTGCTTTTATTGAGAGATTGCCTCGTCGGGCTTATTTTCATAAACTTATATGAGGAATTTAAGACAAGAACTGAAATAAAACAGACTTGTGCTGGTACATGCGCCAGCTCCAAGGGGAGTAAATAATCCAGTATCCCACTCTGTGCAGTGTCCGAGTCTGAGTATAATACATTATGTTCTTTGTGTAGCAGCCTGGCCACAATTTATTAAGTCATATTAGCAAATTTAAGGTCTCTTTTATTTTTGATATCTACAATGTGTTTGTATAGTGGAAATACCCTGAGTATAAAGGGGGGCTTGTGTCTGTAAGATACAGCACATACTTGAAGATGATTTATACGTTACTCTCCCCTTTCCCTAGTAAATGGTTTCATGACCTTGGATTGCCACAGTTTTAAAGTGAATTTATCTGGATTGTGAATTGGCAGTTTTAGCTCAGTTTGGAATTTGTGCTTGGTCTCTGCTGGATCCCAGGAGGGAAACTGCAGCTCCATGTAAAATACACACAGTTGAGAAGAAATACTTCTGCACTGGGAAATGGGGAGAGGAACCCGCTTGAAACTGTGTTACTTGGCCATGAAGCTCAGTGGCAGGCAGCGTCTAGAGCACCTATTTCTCAGCTCTTAGTTGGGTTAAAATAGTTATATCTATTTTGGGGTACTCTCTTAAAATCTGCTTACTGTCATACTGTTTCAGCATCATTGCAAATTAAAGCCTTATTGTGGTCAGGGAAGGAAGCCCTTACGTGAGGGATGACTCAGTCATGTCTCAGGGAGATGCTTTTTGTGTGATGTAGTTTGTGTTTCCTGATGCTTCCCATCGTGATACCAAGCCTGGAGGGAAAAGGTGCTGACAGCAGTGCACTGTATAGGGCTTTCCTCTACATTTTGTCAGGCTCTGCTGGCTTCTCCGCGTTACTCCCCGCTCTCTGCCGATCCACAGGACGTACATCACAGGGGAGGCTGTGGCTGCTCCTGAGACCAGGACAAGCCTCAGGCCATGGGCAGCATCTCCATCGGAGACCTGAGCCCTGTCCCCAGTTCCTGTGAAGCCCAAGGGGGATTTTTGGACAAAGCTCAGCGAACTTTGCAATAAACAAGAAAGGAGGTAGACCAAGGGAGTTTTCCAGCTGGGATCCGCTGCCTCAGCTCCGGTGATGAAGCGAAACTCTGCCGCTTAGCGTACAAACCATCTCCCTGCTTGTTTACTGCCCGCAGCACCCGTGACATCAGCCAGAGTAGTAAAGCAGAAATGGTTTACTACCTGGTTTCTGGTTCTGACATTCCCATGGCAACCTCCTCCCCAATTTAGTCACAGTTTAGTGCCATACAAGTAGGATTTGTTCAAAAAGGAATAAAGGTTGCAGTATGAAAGAGACGCTTCACCGTGTGTTCCTGATGGCTGGTAAATAGGGATTGAAGCACCAGGTGAATACGAGCTCTTTATTGGATTTGGCAGAGCGTGCGCTTCCCAAGGTTAGCCTGCTTAATGGTGCAAGAAATATAAAATAAAGGAAATTAAAAGACTAGCATACAACAGCTGTGATCAGCTAAATTTTAAATATTATGTGGCACTAGCAGAACTGGGCTGCAGCTACAGACATGATGACAAAACTGGGTGTGACTCTGAGATAGTAGAGATGATAAATTAAAACCAGCATGAGGCAGGAGAGGGCTCAGGAGTGACCTCCCTGTACAGCAGTGTAAGTTTGTGCCCTGTTTCCAGCTGGTTTGCCCCAAATTTGCTCTGTCACTGCCTTTTCTCCCCAGGAACACCATGTCCTTCTGCTGCAAGCTCCATTTTATGTCCCACAGGCAGGAACAGAAAGGGGTTGGTGTAATACAGTAGAGGCTAGTTTGGGGTTGTGAAAAGCTTCATTGAACACAGTGGCTCTGGGTTAATTTTCTCTTGGTTTCTCAAGATGAGAGCCAGTGGTAATTTTGGACCCCATTGGTGAGCAGCTGAGAGATCCAACAGAAGCATGGGGGATACAAAGAAACACGGAGGTCTGGAGGAGAGAGCAAGGGGATGGTGAATTGAGAAGGCAGGGACCGCGTGGGATGGAGCCAGAGGATGGAGTGAGGACCATCCACGAGAGGAGAGGGAAGGGGTGGGAGGGCCGAGTGCCTGTGGGAGCAGTTTCCCATCTCCCTGCTCTGGTTTTGGTGGCAAAGGGGAATCCCAGAGCATCTTGCTGCTGCCACTCTCCCTTCATCCCAGCTCGCCACCTCCCCATCACTGGGAGCCAGAGGGCTCTGGAAACAGTTCAGTCTGTAAAACCAAGCTCTTGCAAGTTGGAGAAATCCTGGGATGAAGTTTGGCCTGGCTGAGCGCACACTGGTTTGCGATGCTGCTCACACTCAGGTGATTCAAGGGACTGGGACAGCCCAGGGACTTGCACCCGCTGTACCTGGTTAACCCTACATGTGAGAGCGGGAGGTGGAAGGGAAGGAGCCTGTTCGGGGCTGCCAGGGAGCCACCCCAGAACCCAGCAGACCTTCCTCGGGCAGCTCCGGCTCCAGGAGGGGAGCAGGCACATGACGCCGCGCCATGGGCAGTGATCCTCAGGGATGCTCCACTCCGGTGGCAGCTGGCAGGTTGGGGTGGCCCCGAGAGCCCAGTGGTCCTCCTGCAGCTGTTGATTATTTTTACGAGGTTTTTTTTCTTCCTTTTGGCCATCAGCCGCGCAGCCCCTGCGCAGGGGTTTTGCTCCCACAAGGGTACAGTGAGACCAACAATGTGCCAGATGCTTCATGGGGGCAGGCTGACCCCTCTCTCTGCAAGTGCATCAACTTTTACCATCTTGTCTGTCAGAACTTGCTAATTTGGGGCCATAAAAGCAACCACAAGAAGTCTCACACAGGGCATGCAGGGGCGGCTCAAACAGTTGCATCTTTTGACTCGCCAGGGGAAGAAAGGTTGAGAAGGAAGGAGTCACCTTTATTTGTACTAATATCACCTTTAGTGCCTTTGTGGTGGCGTTAAGTAGCATGGTAGGTACAAACAGGACTTGGCAGCTCGTTTCTTCGGTACATGGACATTTCTTCCTCAGACTTGTCATTGCTGCTGCCCAAATCCTGGCTCAGCCTGGGGCGGCCTCTGCTGGGACCCAGCTCAGGTGAGGGATGAGAGCAGCTGCCCCTTTGCTCCATGGTGGTGAAAATGTGGCAGGAACAGTAAAAAAGCAGATTTTGAAGGCTATAGGGGGGTGTTACTTGGGGCTGCTGCAGGTTCCTGCACCATGAGCATGGCCGAGGACGCTGAGTGGCTGCGGTGGGTGACAAAGCAGTTTGGGAACATTGCGGGGGATGACAAAGAAATAGACATGGAAGAGTTCAAAACCGCTCTGCAAGTGAAGGAGGTGAGTGCAGCGCTGGCCCGGGGTCCCCTCCTCTGGGCATCTGTGCATCTTAGTGTACTTAGAGAAAATTAAGCTTAAAACCAGAATTGCATGATGATGCGTGTGAGAGGGAGAAACCTAGCCCAAAAGGGAAAATCAACCAGATTTCCACTCCTCTTTGAACACTCTTGGCTATTCCCAGTGAATATTCCCTCCCAGCTGCCTGCCACCCCATCCCGTGTCCCCAAGGCTTCCCTCCGGCTGTGGTGCCAACACACCCCTGCTAAAAAACCCTAAACCTAATTCCTCCCTCCCATTTTTGGGCTGTCCCCATGACTCTCAGCTTTTGCCGGGCGATTTGCGTTGCCAATGGCAAGAGCTGTGTTTGCAGCATCGTGACTCAGCTGGCGGAGAGCATCCCGCTGCCGTGTGAGCGCGTTTGTCCCCCTCCCCACAGTCCTTCTTTGCTGAGAGGTTCTTCACACTGTTCGACACGGATGGGAGCGGGACCATTAGTTTGGAGGAGCTGCTGAAAGCCCTGAGCCTGCTTGTGCATGGGAATGAGATGGACAAGCTGAGGTTCCTCTTCCAAGTTTATGATGTGGATGGTAAGATGACAAAGAGATTAATTTGTAATTTTTTGACCAAAGCTCTGATTTGCAAGGCAGCATGGCTCTTGCTGAGCATCCCAGCGTGGGCATCACCACTGGGCTTCGTTGCTGGCGTCACTTCCTCTCATAGTTTAAGTCAGCTGGGTGTTGGGGTAGGTGGGTCCTCGCTGCTGGAGCTTCGTGAAAGGTAAGTGTGTGTCTGGCATAACACCACTGCCTTCGTTCCATGCTGAAAGCATCAACAATCCATCTGAAAACCAGCAATTAAATCGGCCACATGTCAGGATTTCCCACAAAGAACTTTCACCCTTGGCCATGGAGAGGAGCCGTCTTCACTCCACTCAAATATCTTGATCCCGTTGATATCTGTGAATCCTGGTGCTCTCTCATCTCCATCCTTTGGCTGGGAAAGCTGGAAATAACAAAGGCAAAGCTCTTCTTGAGCTGCTTTTCCTGCTCTGACCTGCTTGGGCATAAAAAGCTGGCCAAAGAACTGAGGGCCCAGCCTCTCACCTGTCTGGTTTGCTCTTTGCCTAGCTGCCAGGTAAGTGCATCTGCATCGCTTCGCCAGTGAGTGACACTGCCACAGCCGCAGGTAAACTGCCCATTTGGTCACTTTTATTTTTAAATCCACGAGTTTTTGGGTTTATGAGCAGTGACCTGATCCTGCTCTGGCTGGGCAGATCCCACAGGTGAGGAAGGGAGGCAATTTCTGGGTTAAAGGTGCAAGATGAAGGTGAAACTGTGGGGTTGTCAGGGCGCAACGCCATCTGGGGAGCCCCTGCTCCGACCCACCGTGGTTCCCGCTCACAGGCAGCGGCTCCATTGACCCGGACGAGCTGCGTGTGGTGCTGGGGTGGTGCCTGCGGGAGAGCGCGATTGCCCTGCCTGAGGAGCGGCTGGCAGATCTCACCCTCGCGCTCTTCGAGGCTGCCGACAAGGACCGCAGTGGCTCCATCACTTTCGAGGAGCTCAAGGAGGAGCTGGAGGGTTTCCCGGAGGTCATGGAGAACCTGACCATCAGGTAGTTGCCCCGGCAGGTCACTCTGGCAGCCTCAGGGGCTCCGGGTTCCCGTGCAAGCACCTTTTTTTCACTCTCATGGAGGGAAAACCATGGGGTTTATGGTCTCGTTGAGGCTCTTGTGGGGTGTCCAGGCCATGAGGTACTTGGCCAGCACTGGGGGCAACTCAGGTGCCTTATGGTGCTCTGTGGGGTGCTGGGATGGTGCTGGGATGGGTGCAGGGCTCAGATGCAGGGATGGGTGCAAGGATGGTGTTGAGATGGGTGCTGGGACAGGTGCAGGATGATGCCACGCCAGGAGCAGGGCATGTATACAGAGCTGGGTGCCAGCCTGGCTGCAGGATGGGCCCAGCTTCCCCCTTTCTCCGGACAAGTAGCCACCAGGTGCCTTTGTCCACAGCGCAGCGAGCTGGCTGAAGCCCCCGTTGCCTCCAGCAAGGAGCTGCCGACCGCGGCACTTGACCTGGGACTACTGGCACAACCACCGTGGCAAGCTCGCCTGCCTGGGGGGCTACACTGGCCTCAACCTGCTGCTCTTTGCCCTGGGCGCCCTGTGGCATGCCAGCCTCGGCGGGTGGGTGGCCGTGGCCCGGGGCTGTGGGCAGTGCCTTAACTTCAACTGTGCCCTCCTGGCAGTGAGTGCTGGGCCCCGGGAGGGTGCTGAGCTGGGGGGGGGACACACCCGGGGTGTTCAGAGTCACATTTAGAGTCTCCTCTGATGAATTTGATGGAAATAAGGGGTCAGGGAGGTGGTGAGCTGTGGCAGACAAGGGCACTCATGGCACCCTGCAGCTGGCTCCCTGATTTTGGCCTCTGGGTGCTCTCCTGGCTGTGACACCCTGTACTAGCGGGGAACCAGCCCCTGACTGAGCCCCCCAGCAAACATCTCCAACTGTCCCCCCCAAGACCTCCAACTGCACCTCAACATCTCTGATTATCCCCCCAACATCTCCAGTTGCTCCTCTACATCTCTGATTGCCCCCTGGCATCCCCAACTACCCCTCTCCCTCTCCCGGAGGTGCTGATGCTGCGGAGGTGCCTGACCTGGCTGCGTGCTACCCCCATTGCCAAGGTTTTGCCACTGGACCAGCACGTTGTTTTCCACCAGCTCGTGGGGTACGTGGTGCTGGTGCTGGCAGCCATTCACACGGGTGCCCACGTCGCCAACTTCAGTAAGTAGCAGCTCCCAGGCCGGGGAGACCCTTTGGCTGCCGTGGGTTTATCTGGGGTGACACCTGCTCTAACGCACCCCGGCAACCCTGGGGTAGGTTCCCCCCTTCCTGTCCCTCTGCCGAGGCAGAAAATGCCCCTCGGTGGCAGGGGCATGACCCGCAACACAGCTTCGGCTCGGCAGAAAGTGCAGCGCTGCTGAAAAGCTGCGGGGGCCAGGCCTGAGCCCCGGCGGGGGGATGCAGATGTCCGGGGGGGGTGCAGATGTCCCTGGGGCGGGGATGCAGATGTCCAGGAAGGATGCAGATGTCCCGGGAGTGGGATGTAAGGTCTGGAGCGGGGTGCACACGCCCGCGTAGGGGGGAACTGCGAAGCCGCAGGAAGGGTGCAGGCAGCCGCAGGGTGCGCTGGGTGCCGCGCAGTCTGTGCTGCTGTCTGTTATCCCCCTCTAGCGGCATCCCAGCCGGGCAGAGAAGGGCTCCCATGCTCCCCCCCGCAGCTCCCCAGTGGGCTCTGCACCCCCCAACCCCACAGCCCTGTGCCCCAAGGTAGGGTGCCAGGACCGGACCCCCCCCGCATCGGGGGAGCATGTCTGCTTGTACTACCCCCACCTCGTGCAA